TACGTGTAAACCATTCTTACAGAAATGTACCCAATTAAAAGTTAAACTAGCATAGGCAAGCATGAAAAACTTTTCTTGATGCAAGCCATATTTTCAGAAGTCTGTGAAAGTGTTAAAAACGTTAGAAAATGTGGAAATAGTTGACAGTGATAGATCAAACATACAAACAAAATTAAAGTTCTGTGGGATGTAAGTGTTCAAATTATTTTGATTTTCTAATTCAATATACAGATTCCAGTTTAAAAATTGACTCAGCTATTCAAACCCTTTTTCAGCAAATGAGAACTGAAGTTTGTGCTGTTTTCATTTCTGCAGAAGCTCTTGGCCTCCCACAGCCAACCATGTATTGTAATGTAGACCAGCTTCCTCCAGAAAACTCTCCTTTGATGGAGCGGTGCTTCATAAGCAGGCTACGGTGTCTGCTGGATAATTCGTCTGGTTTTCTGGTAAGGTGCAAAATCTTAAAATACTGGCGTTTACTACTAGAGCATAGAAAATAAACAAAATCCAAGCCAGTCTATTATATTTGAGTTCAATCTTCTGAAAACTGCTTAATTTTATGAAAGAAAGTAAACTTAAAAGTTGTATTTCAGGACTAGTAAGGAGGCTCATTTGGTAGAGCGCATGCTTTCAGGCATGAGGACCTGCATTGTTCAATCCCCAGAGCACATGTAAAATGCCTGGTGTGGTAATGTGCATGCATCTAAGTCTACTGATGGTGAGATGGAAGGCAGAGGCAGGCTGGTCTCTGAGGCTCACTGGTCAGCTAGTATAGCCTACTTAGTGATGTTACTGGTCAGTGAGTCCTCAAGCAAACATTGGAAAGTATCTGAGGAATGACACCAGAGGTTGTCCTCCAACCTCCACATGTACATGCACATATGCATACATGCACACAAATACTCATCACAAGCATGGGCATATACACACACAAATTAGTATTCAGATTTTAACTACTTTCTATAATTCACAAAACTCTATCTTTTATGCTAGAGTTATATAAATTGAGGCATACTAACATGGAACCTTTTACTTTTGACTGTTTTGAAAGGATTTTTTAAAATTTTCTTTTATTTTTACTTTATGTGTATGAGTGTATTGCCTGCATGTATGTGAGTGCACCTGTGTCATGCAATGCCGCAGAGGTCAGAAGAGGGTTTCAGATTCCCCTGGAACTGAAGTTAAGGATGATTCGTAGCTGCCATGTGGGTGCTGGGAATTGAACCTGGGTCCTCTGCAAGAGCAGTCAGTGCTCTTAACCGCTGAGCCATCTCTCCAGCCCCCCCCCCTTATTTTAAGTTAAAGAATTAGCCCTTTTTCAATAGGATACCTAGCATTTAGGGGTTTTATACCAGCAACATGGGAAAACCGTGGCCTTATCTGTGTCTGGAATAAGTGACACATAAAATGCTTATGTTCTTGATTGCGGAGTTACAGTCTGACAGGAGTGCTGCTTCTCTGCACAGTCTGAGCAGCCACATGGGACAGCCCTAGGGAACCACTTAGCAGTGTGTGGGTGTTACTAATTACAGCAGTATTACAACTACCCTGAACAAAATAAAAGCCTGGCTCTCAAAATAAGTTTTTAAGAGTGGGCCTGAACCCAGAGGATACCCATTCCCCTAGATGTCTGTCAGAACTGTGCCCATGGGCCAGGCCCTACTCCAGGCCACACTCACATTTTTATTCCAAAAGATTTTTCCAGCCTCCTTGGGGAAGTACAAAGTTTAAGTTTGACTCCCGTCTTAGCTCAGTTGAACATCCATCCTTTTCAGCCCCAGTATCTCACATACAACATACAGCAGTTCCTCCCAACCGCCAGTTCTCAGTGGGTGCACTGCTTCAGGGCTCCAATATTTCTTCTCAAGCATACCCTCATTCATTCATTCATTCATTCATACATTCATTCATTATCTTTTTGGGTGGAGTATTAAACTGAGGTTGCCGAGGAACTACCCAGGGGGTCACTAGACCCAAGAACATGGTTTTCCTGGGGTCAATAAAAGTTATTAGTCCAGAAAGTCATTCCTACAGAGTTGTTCCCTACTCCCAGCAGCTACAGGGATAGAATATAAAGGGTCTTGCTTATGGTACTTGGGGATGATCCAGAATTTGAAGCAGTTAGATTTTAATTTAAGTGTTACTAAGCCGTGAATTTCATTGGTGTATTTATTTCTACTGTCATCAAATAGTCTGAGACCTAGAGACTCAACCCCCGACTTCCACTTTGCCATAACCTGCCTACTGAATATATCCACCAGTGTATTTGAAATGTGTCTTAAGCTATGACGTAATTCTTTGTTCTGTTTCTACAAAACTTAATGAAACGGTTACCATGTTGGAACATGGAATTTAGGGTAACCTGAATCTATGTTCCCAGGTCACTCATATTTGGCTCCAGAATAAACTATCTTTTATCCCCTTTGAGGTGCGAGTTACGCTTTTGTGTCGACACTAAGAATTGTTTGTGGAGCTGGAGAGATGGCTCAGTGCTTAAGAGCAGTGACTGCTCTTGCAGAGGACCAAGGTTCAATTCTCAGCACCCAAATGACAGCTACGAACCATCCTTAACTCCAGTTCCAGGGGAATCTGATGCCCTCTCCTGACCTCAGCTTTGCATGACATGGTACACTCACATATATGAAAGCAATACACTCAGACACATAAAATAAAATAATAATATATATAAAAGAATTATTTTGCTGACCCAAAGTTATATTTTGAGACATGTGTCTTATTGCTGGTGCCCAAGATCAGTTTGTATTTCTTAGGTGGAATTCGTGTGCCCAAAGGTTTCTTCTCCTTGTGCTGGTATCAGATTCTGTCAGAATCATCCTTTAGGCTCATGGAGCAAGCAAAGTGATCATGCTCATGCTTAAATTGCCTTTGTTTCCTCTGTCCTCCAAAATTATTCTTTATCTTTGAATTCTACCTTCTTTTTTGTTAAGATTTTATTTGTATTTTTAATTATATATGTGTGTGTGTGTGTGTGTGTGTGTGTGTGTGTGTGTGTGTGTGTGTGTACATCTGAATGTAGACTTGTGCATTTGAGGGCAGTGTCCACTGAGGCCAGAAGAGGGCATTGGATCCCCTGGAGCAGAAGTTACAGGTGGTTGTGAGTCCTCAAAACATGGGTGCTAGGCAGTGAATTCAGGACCTCTGTCTGTGCTCTCAACTGCTGAGCCATCTTCCAGCCCAAGCTCTGCATTCTTTGTACAATCTTGTAATATTCTTTTTAGTGTTTTAGTAATATTGTGTCTTTATAGGAAAGATTACCATGATTATGTGGTATAGCTAGCTGGTGCATGATTGAAAGTCAGTATGTACTTTGTGTCTTTATCACCACTCTGTCATTTAAAACAGACATTGTTTGCCTGGTGAGCAAGGAGATGTGAAAATGTCAGGACAATTTGAAGACATGAAATGATCCAAATGCTCCTGTTCTGACCACTAGAGACAAGGAGCCCTTGGCAGTCCTTCACCATGCTCCCCTCTCTACCTTTTGGCATCTTTTTAATGGTCTTTCTGTAGAGAATGGAGTGGGAAACAGTATCAGTTCTCAGTTTTAGGAACTTTCCTACAATATCAAGAACCTTAGAAACAGCTGTGGACAGAAGCTTTGAAAATGAAGCTAGTTTGCACTGTTAATTTTAACAAAAATTTTTAAGGCAATGAATTTCCAAGGGAGACTGAAGTATCTTCACGGGCAGAACAAGAAAGGGAAGGATGGAACGACTCTTCCTCCACAGCTGGCTCTGTTTGCAATAGCTACTCCTCTGCAGCCACCGTCCATACTTGAAATCCGCACCAAAAACTTCATCTTCAGGACCAAACACAAGCTGGACTTCACACCTCTTGGTTGTGATGCCAAGTAAGGGAAACTTCCTCACTTTCATTTCATCAGTGTGGACTTTATTTTACAGGTCTCTTAAGTGAAATGCCACATTAGGTTGTAATACTCTTTACTTCTGTGTTAGTCATTATTACGTTCTCTTCTTGTAGCGTATCTATCGAGGGGAAGTAATCCATCACTCTCACAAGTGATCTTATTATTTCATAATATTTTATAATCCTTGCGAGAGTCTTCTTAGGACATTTACTGTTGGTTTATTATATATTTTGTACAAATGCTCCTTAATTTTTAGCTCTTGGAATTTCATAGCTATCTGAAAAGAAGTAGTGGAATTAACGGTTTCATATCAAAGCATGTTAATGATTTTTCTTCTTTCACACAGGAGAACAGAGTGAGGCAACTTGACATAAACATACCATCCCCCAAACTAGAATATATTCACTCCATATTTTTATTAAATAATTTGTTTACCTTTATAGCTAACTTTGTCAGATTCATTGTGGGCCATTCTAATTTTAATGGCTTTGTTCAAAGACAGCTAGGCCTACAGGGAGACCCTGTCTCAAAAAAAAAAAAAAAAAAAAAAAAAAAAAACGAATAAAAGATATAGTTAGCTTTTCTATGTACTGATGTGAAATTCTGAGTGTCAAGTATACTATATTGTAGAAAATAGCATAGAACCATTGAATTTGTCTTGGTTATTTTAAACTATTACTCATTCTTTTAAAACAGAGGGCAGCTCATTCTAGGCTATACGGAAGTAGAGCTCTGCACAAGAGGATCCGGGTATCAGTTTGTTCATGCCGCTGATATGCTTTACTGTGCTGACTCCCATATCCGCAGTGAGTTGGAATTTCTTATGAACATAACTGACAATAGCACATACTCAAAAAGTTTGTGTGTGTGTGTGTGTGTGTGTGTGTGTGTGTGTGTGTCTGTACGCACTTGAAAGTGCACACAAGGCAGTCAGAGGACAACTTGTGGAGTTAGTTCTGTCCTACAGTGTGGGTCTAGTCAGGCTTGATGGTGAGTGCCTTTGCCCACTGAGGCTTCTCACCTGCCCTTTAGCACATTTTCAAATCATCGCATAAGGTCATATTTATACAGAACTCTCCAGATTAACTATTGCATAGCATCATGCCAGTTTAACCAATCAGTTTCACTTTTTATTCCCTAATTGTTCTATAGCTGCCACACAGCAACATAGTGGTATAATATAAAAGGGACCATTTTGGCCAGTGAAGTTTTGCTCAGAAATTTTTAATGGCATCATTAATTCATAAATATGTGTTAATATAAAATTATGAAATATTGAATGTATTCTTTATTTTTAATGAAAACAGTTTTTATCTTTACTTTTCTCCTAGGCTAAGTTTTTTTCCTGTGTTGCCAAAATTTTCTGACTGGTCTTGAATATTCCTCCTAACATTTTACATGTTAAACTTCATCTGAAATAAGAAACAACTCTGGAGAACTGTTTCCATGCCCTTCAGTTTGTTTACCATGTTTAAAGGATGTCCTGAGGGCTGGAGATATGACTCAGTGGTGTGGTTTAGAGCACTAGCTGTTCTGGCAAGGGACCTGGATTTGGTTCCCAGCACCCACATGGCAGCTAATAACCATCTGTAACTCCAGTTCCAAAGGACCTAACACCCTCTTCTGGCCTCTGCAGACATTGCACACACATGGTGCACTTACATACATGCAGGCAAAACACTCATACATGTAAAGTAAAATAACGAATTAAAAAAGAAGTGTCGTCAAGACACAGGTGTTAAATTCACCCAGAAATATCTCAGAAAGACATTTTGTTTTAAAGGTTTATTTTATGTGTGTTTTTACCTGTGTATGTACATGTGAGGTCAGTACAGGTGAATTCCAAGGCCAGAAGAGAGTGTCAGATACACTGGAGCTGGGTTTGAGAGGTGAGCTGTCCATGTACTGCTGGGAGTTGAACTCAGATCCTCTGGAAGAGTAGTAGAGCTCGTAACTGCTGAGCCATCTCTTCAGCCCTCCAAGAGAGGCTTTATTCCAGGGATTTTCTTTAAAATACTGATTTCAGGTTGGTAACCTTATGTCTAAATTTTATTTTAGTGATTAAGACTGGAGAAAGTGGCATGACAGTTTTCAGGCTTCTTGCAAAACACAGTGGCTGGAGGTGGGTCCAGTCCAATGCACGCTTGGTTTATAAAAATGGAAGGCCAGATTACATCATCGCAACTCAAAGACCACTAACGTAAGCACAAAGACTTGCAATGTTCCTCGTTTTGTGTTTTAGTAAATCCTCTTACATGAAAATTTAAAAATAATCCTAAGGCAATTGAACCTGGATTAAAAATTGAAAAGCCAAAATAATACATATAGAAAGAGCAGGGCAAAAGTGAGAGATGCTTGAAAAGCCAAATTGACAAGATTCACTGAGCAGCAAGTGTATAGTTTTACCCTTAAGTTTAAGGGGAAACAAAAAGCTAAGTATATTTAAAATAAAAGAAAAAATATAATGTGCTTTGTTTTCTATGCATACCTAGTGTTTTGTAAGTTTCTAGAAAGTCTTATGTATTATTTGCATCAGAAATATTTTTCTTACTTTAAGAAGTGCATTTTAGCCGGGCATGGTGGTGCATGCCTTTAGTCCCAGCACTCAGGAGGCAGAGGCAGGCAGATCTCTCTGAGTTCAAGTCCAGCCTGGTCTACATAGTAAGTTCCAGGCCAGCTGGGGCTACAGCCTGTCTCAAAAAGACCAAAAAAAAAAAAAAAAAGAAGAGGTTTTGGGTATGGCTTAAGGTAGAGATGATGACTGATTTTTTTTCCCTTTATTTATGAATATCAAATTGACCAGTCTATTTATTAAAAAGACCAATTATTGAGAAGCCATCTTCCCCAATTCAGAGGAACTTTGTGGCCCTGTTTCTAGATTCTGCTGATCTAGTTCTTTTGCTCTAGTTGTCTGTGTGTGCCATTTCATTGTCTTAATTACTTTTTGGGGGGTTTATTTATTTTTATTTTATGTGTATGAGTGTATTGCCTGTGTGTATGTAAATGTTCCTGTGTCATGCAGTGCCTGTGGAGGTCAGAAGAGGGTGTGGAATCCCCTGGAACTGGAGTTACAGACAGTTGTTAGCCACCATGTGGGTGCTAGGAACTGAACCTGGGTCCTCTGCAAGAGCAGTCAGTACTCTTAACCTTTGAGCCATCTCTCCAGCCCCTAATTATACTCTTTATCAGCAGTTTGGATTTGTGAATGCATGTCTTCATTTTGTTCACTTTTCAATGTTCCCATTCGTGATTGCCTTGGCTCTTCTTTTCCTTGCATATTTCCAAATTTACTTTAGAAATAAGTTATAAATTCACAACAAAAACAATCTGTCGGAATTTTGAAAATGTAGATTATTTGGAGAAGAATTACACTTGTAGAACACTAAATCATCCAACCCAGGAGCATGATGAATGTTCATATAAACCCGTCAAAGTATATGGGTGTGTGTGTGTGTGTGTGTGTGTGTGTGTGTGTGTGTGTGTGTGTACGTGCGCTATACAACTCTGCATTCTATCCCTTGGTTGGTACAGATAGAAGACCTCTAATTTATTAGTCTCTTCTGGGCTCCAGTGTTTGCTTTACTGATTTTTTATTATCCATTTGATTTCCATTTCATTTATGTTTCATTATTTATTTAATTTAGATGTAGTTTTCTATTTTTCCAGTTACATATATATGCATATATATATATGTGTGTTTCCCGTTGTACATTTTAGCTCCAATTGCATAACACTAGTAATGAGATTAATTTAGGCCAAAATATAAGTCTATGTTCCATGCTATCGAACTCAGCTGCAGTCTATTTTATTTACTTTTTTTCTTGTTTTAAAAATATCTTTCTTGAACCAGGCATGGTGGCACATGCCTTTAATCCCAGCAGTAGGGAGGCAGAAGCAGGTGGATCTCTGTGAGTTCCAGGCCAGCTGGGGCTACAGGGAGACCCTATCTCAAAAAGGCAAAAAAAAAAAAAAAAAAAAAAAAAAAAAAAAAATCTTACTTGGTAGATTTATGAGAAAACACTCAAACGTGCACTTTCTTGAACACAATTTTAGGGACGAAGAAGGAAGGGAGCATTTACAGAAGCGAAGCCTGACGCTGCCCTTCATGTTTGCAACCGGCGACGCTGTGTTGTATGAGATCTCCAGCCCTTTCCCTCCCATCATGGATCCCTTACCGATAAGGACTAAAAGCAGCACTAATGGAAAAGATTGTCCCATCCAGTTGGCTCCTAATACCGATTCCCTGAACCCCAGTTCTCTCATAAATGCCATGATGCAACAAGACGAGTCTATCTATCTCTGTCCTGCTTCAGGTTCTGTACCTTTAGAAAGCCATTTTTTCAACAGCTCCATGACTGAGTGCAGCAGTTGGCAAGACAGCATCACACCAATAGGAAGCAATGTGTTGCAGCATGAGCAAGCTGGATGTGCCCCAGACATGAATCCCACACCTTCCGCAGGCCACCCTGGGCTCTTTGCAGAAAATAAAAATAGTGAATTGTATAGTATCATGAAAAACCTAGGAATTGATTTTGAAGATATCAGATGCATGCAGAGTGAGGAGTTTTTTAGAACTGACTTTTCTGGGGAGGTTGACTTCAGAGACATCGACATAACAGATGACATCTTGACGTACGTCCAAGATTCTCTAAGTAAGTCGACGTTGCTGAATTCAGATTGCCAACAGCAGCAGTCTGTGGCGCTCAATCCAAGCTGTATGCTTCAGGAACGCATACAGTTGGAACAGCAGCAGCTACAGCACCACCAAAAGGAAGTGGTGGTGGAGCCCCAGCAACAGCTTTGTCAGAAGATGAAGCACATGCAGGTCAACAGTATGTTTGCAAATTGGAACTCTAACCCATCCATGCCTTTCAGTTGTCCACAGCAGGAGCTAAAGCAGTATAATGTCTTTCCAGACTTACATGCCGCTGATCAGGAGTTCCCCTACAAATCTGACCTTATCGATATGCCTTACACACAGGACTTAGTTCCCTCTAATCAGGCTATGCTACCGCAACATTCCAAGTGTGTACAATTGGACTTTCCTGTAGGGAACTTTGAACCATCCCTACAATACCCCACTAATTCTAGTATAAAAGATTTTGTCACTTGTTTACAAGTTCCTGAAAACCAAAAGCATGGACTAAATCCACAGTCAACCATGGTAACTCCTCAGATGTACTGTGCTGGGGCCATGTCCATGTATCAGTGCCAGCCAGAGCCTCAGCACCCTCCCGTGGATCAGATGCAGTACAGTCCTACAGTTCCCGGCCACCAGGCATTTCTAAACAAGGTAAGAGCTTTCTAGAGCTTTTCCAGGCTTATGTTTCTCCATGTTATCTATCATGGAACTGGAATTGGTTGTATAGTTCTGTTGTTTAATGTATTATCAGAACCCTTCCAGCAGCAAGTAACTTTAAAAAAAAAAAAAGATTTAAAGAGTTGAGTGTGGTGGAGTACGCCTTTAATCCCAGCACTCAGGAGGCAGAGACAGGTGGATCTCTCTGAGATCAAAGCCAGCCTGGCCTACATAGTTCCAGGCTAGCGGGGATACAGGGAGACCTTGTCTTTTAAAAAAACTAACATTTAGGGACTGGAGAGATGGCTCAGCAGTTAAGAACACTGACTGTTCTTGCAGAAGACCCAGGTTAAAATCCCAGCACCCACATGGCAGCTAACAACCGTCTGTAACTCCAGTTCCAGGGGATCTGACGGCCTCTTCTGTCCTCCATGGGTGTTGCACGACATGAGTCCACTTACCTACATGCAGGCAATACACGTATACACACAAAATAAAATTAAAAATTAAAAAAAAACTAACATTTATATCACATAATTAACTTCTTTATAATATACTTAAAGATACTACAAATGGTAAATATTTAATTCATTTAAAAATAAGTTAATGTTAACATAATTTTAACAGTTGCTTCTGTTGCAACTCAGGAATATAGCATGCTTGGATTAATACTTTTTTGTTAGAACATATGTACCTCATTTTAAAATACAGTGGAGTTAAGTTTGTAAAACTAAAATTAAATCTCTTGGCCTCTTTTTACTGTTTTGAATATAGTAGTTTTAAAGTGTGAGTTGAATCTTTAGTGGCTTCTTCTAGCTTCTTAATATATTTGGTTTGTCTGTATGTGAGCTTTTTAGGAGGGAATGATGTGAAGATTTTTCCTAATATTATTCCTGATATCCTTCAATTCTATTCAGTTTTGATATTCAAGATAAAGAAAATGGATTATTCACAGCATGGATATCATTCAGACATAAAAAGTACAAAATTCTCTTTGCTTAAGAGGAATGTAACTAGAGGACATTTTATTAGTGAAAGAAGCCAGGCAAAGAAAGAAATACTGCTTATCACACTCGTGTGTGGAGTTGATTTCTCAGAGGTACAGAGCAGAGTAGACATTGTAACCTGTAAATATGAATAATTATGTGACAATAAAAAGTAACAAAATTTTTAAAAACATTTTATTACATTATCACAGAGCATTTTCCTCTTGAATGACTGTAGAAGTTAGTTACACCAAATTTCATTGTGAAAGGATGGTTCCATCAGTACTGCATCAGTTCTTTACAATCCCCTCACCTTTATATTGCTTCTTAGTTTATAATAACAATAATTTTCCAGACCTATAGAGTCTCAGCATAGCTATTAGTAACAGAGGCTGTTAAGTACTTAAAATGTAGCTTGTCCAAATTGAGATGTACCAAAGTAAGAATGTGTACTGGGTCTTAAGAGTTAGGTTGAAAATGAATATAAAATGTCTCAACTTTTAAAATTGATTTCATGTCAAAATGATCTGTTTATCTTTATTAGCTTAAATAAAATATCTTATTAGAATTAATTTAGCTTGTTTCTTTTTATCCCTTTTGTAGTTGGGAACAGGGCTTACTCTGTAGCCCAGGTTGGCCTGGAACTCACTAAGCCCATGCTGGCCTCAGAATTGAAATATTCCTACTTTAGTCTCTCAAGTGCTGGGACTGCCTGACCTCTTTTTATAAACTTCTTAATGTGACCCCTAGAAAAAGTAAAGCTGTGAACATGGCTCATGTTTTGTTCATGTGAGACAGCAGTACTCACTGTAGGTTTTTGGTTTGGTTTGGTTTGTTTGGTTTGTTTTGGTCTGTTTTTTTTTTTGGGGGGGGGGTCTTTTTGAGACAAGGTCTCCCTGTAGCCCCAGCTGGCCTGGAACTCACTATGTAGACCAGACTGGCCTTGAACTCACAGAGATCCTCCTCCCTCTGCCTCCCAAGTGCTGGGATTAAAGGAGTGTGCCACCACACCCGGCTTACAGTTTTTTGGTTTTCGTTTGTTTTTTTTGTTTTTGTTTTTGTTTGTTTGTTTGTTAAAAAAGAGCTGATCTGCATTGTACATGAGAGAAAAATTTATTTAAAACCAGAATAGTATGATTTCCCATTTGAAGACAGAATTGCCACACAGAAAATATTTAACATTTATTTTACATCGAATATATATTTTGGGGTATCTTCAATGTAATCATTGACTTGTTTCCTAAAGACTAATATTACTGGACTTAAGAAAAATGAGAAGGCTTAGTGGATAAAGGTACTTGCTGTAAGCCTGATTAACCTGGGTTCAAAACTCAGGACCCACCTGGTACAAGGAGAGAACCCACTCTTGTATGTTGTCTTCTGACCTCCATACATGAGGCAAGTGTTTGTGTGTGAGTGCACTGGTGTGCATGTGCACACACTGAATAGATATAATAGACAATCTTTTTTAAAAAAATGGATTTTTAAACTTGGTGTGGTAATTTTGGCCTATAATCCCAGATATGGGAGAGTGAGGCAGGAGAATCACAAGTTCAAGACTTGCTGAGCCAGAGAGCAAGTTTAAAGACAACCTGGAAATCTTAGAAAATAAAAAGTACAGAAAGTCTAGGGCAGTGCTGATCACTTGACTACATTGTAAAAGGCCCTGCACTGGATTGCCCAACACTGAAAAATAAAAGGAATGGAATAAAATGATTTTATTTGAAGAAACTAAAGGAATTATTTTATAATTTTATTTTTTGAAAGCTTCCACGTGTCCATAACTTTCATTAACTATATACTACTGTATAAAGATTCTGTAATCTATAAACTGTATAGAACTACATGTCTTTTGTTTTTATAAAATAGCAGTTCTGAAAAAACAGACTGGTTTTAGTGTAAGAAGACAATAGAACATTTTTATTTGGTAGCCTGATTCTGTAATTGGAGCAATGCTTTTATTGGTATTCATTCATTAAAAGCATATTACAAGTAAGAAATTGGTTAAGGAAATTCTGCCTATAATATAGTATTGTAGGAATATCAAGAAAACTTTAGAAACTAAAACTGGCCATTCTGGGGAAAGTCTTGGCATCTCTAATGGAGTGAGGAAATTCTGGATGTATCAGTTCAGTGATGTCAAGTACTTAATTGAGATGAAGTCAGGATAGAGCAAACCCACAGGCGACACAGAGTATCTAACACTGTCCTGGCCATCGCTGTGACCCATCCATCAGTTCCAGTCTGGCCCAAGCAGTGTGAAGACAGCTGTAGTACTTTCTGTACCATCTTCACAATTTCCTGTAAAACTAATGGGAAAAATCAAATTTAAATTTTTTATTTATTTTTATTTTATGTGTATGAGTGTTTTGCCTATATGTATGTAAATGTACCTGTGCATGCAATGCCTGTGGAAGCCAGAAGAGGGTGTCTGATCCTTTGGAATTGAAGTTACAGATAGTTGTTAGCCACCACATGGGTGCTGAGAACCAAATCCAGGTCCTCTACAAGAGCATCCAGTGTTCTTGACCACCAAGCCATCTCTCCAGTCCCAGGAAAATCAAATTTTATAAATGAGCCTAGTACATGATGGAGTCTCAGTATACCTTCACTGATAAAAGGTTTGATATTCAGCAGCACTAAAGGAATTAAGCTGAACAACATGCAGACCTAAGATTTAAAATGTGTATTTTTAAGTTGCTTTTGTGTAGTTTAAGACATTAGTAAGATCCTAATTTGCTTTGTGATTTTTGTTTTTAGTTTCAGAATGAAGGACTTCTAAATGAAACTTACCCGGTAGAATTAAGCACTGTTAGTCACACTCAGACTGCTGCACATCTTCAGCCTTTGCATCATCCAGCAGAAGCCAGGTCATTTCCTGACCTCACACCCAGTGGATTCCTGTAGCCTAAGCCCAGTGTTCACCCTGATTCTTGGATCAAATTCATTCATGAAGGGTCACAGGACACTGAGACTATTAATGTTAGGCATCTGCATTCATTCTAAACCAAATTTTAATCTTTGTATTTAGAAAAGGGGTTTAGAAATATTATTACCATTACTTATGAAACAATAGGTAGAGCAGGAACTCCGTGGGAGCGTGGGAAGACGTAGCATGTTTATGTTGTCCAGCACCACAAGGTTCGCATTATGGAGAACTTTCTCTGTGCAATGATTTCTGCCAGAAAAAGTGAAGTACTTAGAGTTTTGAAATTTTGGCTATAATATAATATATCCAATTAATGTTGCATATACCAGTATACCAAATACAAAGTTACAAGACTGACTGTTTTCCCTATATTTTTAGCCTCTGCTTTTATCTCAGATGTTAAAATAAATGGTTTGGTGCTTTTTGTAAGAAGATAATTGCAATGTTCCTTTCTGCACTGTTAATCTAAGTGCCTCACATTTTTTTCTACATGTAACACAGTCGGGTGTATATTTTATATAAAATATTCTTTATCTTTTTTTAAATTAATATTCTTTCTGCACACAAATATTACTTGTGTTTCCTAAACCCAGTCATTTTTATTAATTCAGGCATGTTTTTGCTACACTACTCACTGAATTTCTTCAGGTAAAGGACAAATGATGATGTCAAAAGATAATTATTTATTATGTAATAGAGTTGCTTCTAGATTTCAATGTTGCTGTGTGCCTTACACTGAAAAATTTAAAAGTAAAATGTTGCCCAAACTATTATATAAATATTAAGATAGTAGCACTTACATTTTAACAGTGTTTTCTCAGAAGTGAGATAATGCCAAGGTTTACTGTCACTGAAATCTCTACAGTGATAGCAAATATCACAGTATGAAAACCTGCTGTTAAATCCAGCTACATTTATTAAACTGCAGTGAGAAGAATTTGGTCTAGCTTTTAGTGAAGCAAAGCACTCATTTCATTGTATATAATTGCTTTTAAAATCGCTCTTGGCTCTGTACAATCCTTTCTGTTATATTGACTTTATAAATTTCACTTTTTAAAATAGTGGAAGCTATTTGTTTTTCTCATATTTGAGGAGTGTTAAGATTGAAGGCGCAATGCGTGGTGCAAAGTACTGCAATGAATTAATGAATGGCACATTATATAAATGTAATGAACAAAATTATCTGTAAAATAATTTTAATTTTTCATTTTAGTCCATACCTCATATATGCACATATATGCATCTTTATTAGTGTATCTTGTTAAGAAATCAAACAATGAATTGAGCTGATTTTAATTTGGTATTAAGAAAAAATAAACATCATTTGCCTCCATACATTAAGTTGTTTTTATGGTATAACCTTTACCACCAATATGGCAGATCCATCACTACCAGATTTAATGTTCTTAATTGGCTTAAAGGAAAAATAGGACTGCTGTCTGTGATTGTGTTTGTTGTTTATTCAGATGTTATGTGTGAAGGACATGGACCTGCTTGTTTTTCATATGTTATATAAAAATCTGATGAGATCCCACATTGTAATATTAAAATACAATATTCTTTATTTTTTTGTTTTTAGAAAATTACTGTATGTAAAAAAGATCTCTCATTTCTATTCATTTTCACTCAAAATTTTGATTCTTTAGGATTAAGTGTTGAAATTTTGTCTAAAACATTTCATAATTTGTCTCCAGCATGAGCTATCATAAAGATTTAGACTGACATTCTGGATTGCAGTTTTACATTTAAACTTTTCACTAAGTCTTCCTTAAACCATTTTTGTTAGTCATTTCCACATGTTTCCAAATGAATTGTTCAGTTAAAAAATGTTTTATAATTGTGACTATGATGGCATTTAATTACACACTTATAAAACTGCAAGTTTTAAAAGCAATATTGTATTTTTTGTCTATATAAAATAACTGAAATATCTAAAAAAATAAAATAAAATCGCATTAAACCAAATCCACCTTTGTCTATATTGCTAAGTGCCAAACAGAAGGATTGATTAATGTACTACTATATTGAGGGACTTATTTCCAGGTGAGATGCACATCTAATAATGTGCATGTGTCTGAGTTGAGCTCTTCTTTCCTGGTCGTTCTTACATACCTGAGGATTCACCAGTGCTTTGATGTATTATGAACCTGTCATCATTGCTGTACAAACTAGCATGTTTCAGTATTAATAGATTTTAGGTTTTCATAGCTTTTTGCTATCCTTTCAAACTGTTACTGCTCACATATGCCATGCATAGAGTTTTGTTAAAGTAAGGCTTATAATATCCTAATTATCAAAGAAAATGTAAACAATAATATATGGTAATAAAATAATCACCAAGTATGTGTAATGGTTTCACGTAAATTATTTGTGTCCATATAAAGGAAGCAATTCCCTATAGCCTTGCACTATTGGCTATGTTAGATGAAGATAGTTATGGTACTTAAAGATGTGCTAAGTGAATAACTCATAAATTTCTCCAATTCTCACCCTAATATTTTGGTCTTTACATGAACATAAAAAGTGTGTTTTGAGTAACTCAAGTACTTCTAAAGTGGACTACTTTTTCTAATCCCATGTTATCATTGTTATGATTATAGTATTATCTCAAGTTGAAATCCCAAACCTCATTTTAATAAATAATATTTTAAGAATATGTCTGAAAAAATTGGAATAACCCTGTTATCAATGTGTTGAATTAGAAAAACTTATTGCCCAAACTAGGCTTGCTCTCTCTTATAAATGATGTGTTAGCCTTTGTCCTTAAATTGCTGAATGTTCACCAGTAATTCTGTAGTTCAAATTGGTTGAAGGAAGTTTGAAAAAAAAAAAAAAACGTTCTTTCCAGAAACAGCTTCCCTTGAGGTTTCTATTTGTCCTGTACAGTTAGGCATTTTTCTAAGTAACCACATCATGAATTATCATTGAAATTCAGAGCATTGAAGAAAGACTAACTCCAAGTCCTTAGTCTAAGCATTACCTAAATACTCAGGTTTAGCTTTTTGATCTGAACAAAATCAAATTTAAGTTGACTACAGATCCTGCATAGTCAACAGTTTATGGTGGCTGTCACACATGACAGATGAGGTATACAGTGACCACACCACCCAGGTTTAGGTAAGTACACTCTGCAATGTGATGTGTGGCACAACAGAACGGCCTTCATCACACTTCCTGCTGTGTATCCCTGCCATCAAGTGCTACATGACTGTGATCTGTTTCTGAGTTCTGCTTGCACTCAGTCCAATGGCTTCCATAACTTCAAAGGACTCCAACTTGCCCCATCTCACCAAGTCTGCTGAACACTGGCCTAGGGTTTTTGGCCACTCCAAGGAATTAGCAGCTGTAATTCCTCTTTTACATTCTGCAGATAGCCTTGCTTCTAGTTTTTCTAATAAAATTGATAGCCTCTCCCAGTGTTTCCTGTACCTTCATCTCCACACCACCATTGTGCTTAGTGTTTACCTTATCTGTGGTGTATGAGGAAGAGGTTCCCAAACTTGAAGGTGGACCCCATCCTCTTTGTTCTCCTGAAGATACCCTCTGTGCTTTCTCTCTTCAGGTTCTCCTCTGTGGAGCTTTCCCTGTGGACAGATCTCCTTCCAACCTGGAAACACATGATCTGCAATCCCTTTTCTCTATTGTCTTGCTACTTGCTCAGAAATAGTTTTTGTCTCCCTCAATCTGGGTTCCACTCTTCTGTCATACCGTGTTGTTGCAGTTCACTTACCACCTTTCTTACCATGGCCTGATTTTTCTATGGTGATGCAACCAAACTGCACCTTCAGAGAACTTTTTTCTTCTAACTTCCATGACAGTAGTTTGCCTTTGACCTCCTAACAGTCTCCTTTTCATTCTCTCTCCCTCTTTCTCAACCCTCTCCCTGCTCCAGTCTCCCCCATCTCTCTTCATCAGCCACCCTTCCATCCTGGCAAGAGATTGGTTCTAGTTTGGGTTCCTTATCTACGTACTTCATCCATTCTACAACTCTTACAACCCTTTTTAAGAAAAACACTTTTTTTTTTTTAATCTTACCTATAAGGAGATGTCTTATTTGTGACTAACATTTATTCCATCCCCTTGAAGTGTAAGCGCGCTTGACTTCTGTATAGTGAAATTCTCTTCTGGCAGGCCCATGCTGCATATGCTCTCAGCTCTCAGGCCCCATGCTGTCCTTACGACCTGACCGACAAACAGACACAATGTTCCTCTAAGCTACAGTTTAGGGAATAAACATTTATTTGGGCTTGCCAACAAAGCTTATGATATCCGGGAGGGGAATCACTTACAAAGTCATGGTCACCCATGGACTTTTTTTCCCTACTTCAAGGCTGAGCTTTGCAGATCGGCACCTGACAGCCCCAAGGTGGCGAAGCATCTGCCGCCTCCCAGGCTTCCACATCTCTTCTTAGACCCTCCCCCTCATGCAGTTGAAGCTGACCAACTGGATGGGAGGGGTGACTGCCTCTCTTTCTACTGGAGTCTCAGGGCTCAGGCATCAAGCTGTTGCCAGTTCTTTCAAAGGACATGCCTATCCATCAACTTCCAAAAAACAGGGAACAGAAAAGAGGAGAAATACTTCAGGAGAAAACTTACACACTTGGAAATTAGGAAACTGAAGCCAGAGAGATAAGTGGTCTCATATCATTCAGGTCATGATGAAGACGGAGCTAAGTGTACCTGCTAATTAAGAGTAGACTGGCTAGCTGCCCCTGTGAAGTCTTTGCTCTCCACTCCACCTCATGCTTAATTTACCTTATCTCATTTAGATCCCTATGAGATTAATTATTCCAATTTATAAATTGTTAAGCTTACTTTTTCAAAGCGACTGAAATGTCCAAATAGTTGTCATACACAGACTAATGGTCAGTCAAATGTGTTCATATTTTCCCAGAGCCCATGAATATGTTAATTTAGGTGGCAAGATGTTATTGAGTTCAGGACTTAGGGATAGGAAGGTGCTGTGGTTTGAGTCTTAAATGCCCTCCAAACCTCTTAGGTAGAAGGCTTGGTCATTAGCTTGTGATCTATTAGGAGGTGACAGAACCTTTAGAAGGCAGGACATAGTGTTAGGAAATTAGGCCATTGAAGATGTGCCCTGGAGGAGGATTTTGAAACCACCCCTCCCCTCTCTTCATAATAAAGTGAACTGGCTTTTCCACCTCACCCTCCTGCAAGAGGTACTGGGCAGTGACATAGTCAAGAAACCATGAACAAAATCTATGAAACCATGAGTTATACCTTCTCTCTTATTAAGTCTGTTGTGGTAAAGGAATGATGGTTAGTTTGGAAGGTTATCCTGGATTACCTGGGTAGACCCAATATAATCACTAATGGTCCTTGGGAGAGGAAGGTAGGTGTGTCAAAGTGATCACAGAAGCAGAGAAGGAGGGGAGGCGGTGTGTGAAGATACTATGCTGATAATGTTGAAGATGCAGGAACATTATCCAAGGAATTGAGGAGGACCTGAGAAACTAGAAAAGGCCAAGAAATTATTTCTCCCCATCTGTTTCTAGAAAGAACATGGCCTTGCTGATTACTTGATTTTGGAACTGGTGTTCTCTAGGTCTGCTAAGATAACATATTTGTATTGTTTTAAGCCACTAAATGTAGTAATTTGCTATAGTAGTGCTTAGAAACAACACAATTTATGGATTTTAAGTAAGGCAAGGGATGCACTTGGAAACATCTCCATTATCAGTTTCTATAGAAAAAATAGAAGAGCTGTTCTTCATACTCTCCCCGGCTACAGCAACTTTGCTGCTCTTCAGGGGAGAACCAGGAAAATTTGGCAGCTCTTCCTGCCCCCCTCCCCACCCTCAAGGCCGTCTGGACCATGAAAAGAACCTCCAAATTCTGAGGGTAGCAGTGGTGCCTGATGGGCTCCAGCCTCGCCTCAGATTGCAAGGACATGTGGAAGAGCACACCACAGCCTTGCCTCCTCCAGATGTTTGCCTCATGTCAACAGTCAGGAAGTGTGTTGCTCACAGCCTCACATGTGTTTCTAAAGAAGGATCTTAATAATGTGTCTGGTTGTTGCAAATAACCATACAAATTGGCCCAATTCCTGTGAGAAATATGGCTTTATTGCAATGGGTTAGATATTATATAAGCATGGCTGTTTATGTGTCTTAAAATGGTTTTCTGCATTTAAAATTAATGAAGCTATTTTGCAGATACTTTTTGCAACTCTGCAACTGAAGTCTAAAGGCTTGTGTGTGAAAAAGTAGTTTTTTTTAAAAAACTTATTTCTGCATATTATCACTTAGTAGGGCCCAAGGGAATACCATTAAATGAGAATAACTGACCAAAGCTTTTATGAACACGTTTCCACATTGTATTTTTTCAGTACTTTATTTGCACATAAATCCATTATTGGAATTGATTTTAATTATTACACTGTGAGGCAAATTTATAATTCTGGAATTTTTCATTTAACATTTTTAGACAACAATTGGCTGTGGTTAACAAAACCACAGAAAGCAGAACCTTGGATGAAGGGACTACTTTATTTCAGGGTGGTCTTTGATGGGATACAGTAAGAATTGAACCACTGGCTTAAAAACATGCTTAACTCAAGCATTTGTAGTTTTCCTCATAGATTTTATACTGTGGATTCATCTCAGATAAACAAGGTTATTTCTCTACTGAGGAATTACTCCTATAGCCCATGAAATTGAGGCTAAAATGTAAACTGATATTTAAAGTGTCGTTTGGAAAATACAGTAAATTATTATAACTAGATTTTAGAATGATTTGCCCATTTGATCAAGTTTCAGGTTTCTCTCTTTGATTCATATGAGATATGAAAGTAAGGGTAATCATACTGGACATACAAAGCATCTAGAACCTTAATAACTTTTTTCTAATTTTTTAGCAGTATCAGTATAAATAATTGAGGGCCCAAATCCTTCAATACTCCTTAAATGCTGTAATTAAAATCACTGAGGTTTTTGACATAAACCATCAAGATTGTTATGAAAGGTGCAAGCTGACCTTATGAGGCAAGCATAGAGCTTCTCCACCTCTTAAAGGGAGTTAGTGACTACCTTGGAGTGAGGCCATCTGCAGAGGGCCCCACAGGCCAGGCAGGAGACTGAGTGTACATAGGGCATGTGTCAAGCCTGACACAAGGAACTGCTGTGGGTCTGCAGTAGCCATCAGTCAGGATGCCACCTCCAGGCCTCCCTCCACATCTGCCCAAGAAGC